TGGAGTGCATTAGCCCGAGGCTGATGAAGGACCGTCTACAAATTGGCCGCACCTGCGGAGTAACTTTCGTGGTGGGGTACGCCCCCACGGAAACTGTCCGCACCACCGCGGGCGGTGATGTTAACGCCAAGGACTCCTTCTGGACTGCTCTCGACGCAGCGATCCGGGAGGTTCACAGCCGTGACCATCTCGTGGTGCTAATGGACGCCAACGCACCCACTGGTAGGAGGCGAGACTGGTGCTGCGATGCCTAGATTATTGGCGCGTGCGGACGCAACATTATGAACAACAACGGGGAACGACTCCTTGGACTGGCATCAGACAAACAACTCTCCCTGACCAACACCTACTTCAGGACACCGAAAGGTGGAGTGCAGCACACATTCCAGAGCTCCAACAAGGGGAAGGAGAAGTACCGCCTCGACTTCATCCTCATGCGTCAGACGGACCGGCGTTTTGTGCTCAATGTCTCCGTCAAACGTGTCGACTCCAAGGATTCTGACCACAACCTCGTGCTTACGACTGTCCGCCTCCCTCCCCGTGTCGCACCCAACCGACGAGTGCGGGGGAACAGCGGAAGCAGCCGGATCCGTATCGACCTCGAGCGGTTGAGGAAGGACAAACACCTACGGGTCGCCTTCCAAAACAGGGTCTCCAGCCGCCCTCCGCCCACGGCGCTCAGGCGGCCAACGGGAGAGACCGCCGCCGAGCTGACGGCTACGGTGATGTCGGCCGCTGCTGAGACCGCGCCGCTGGCGAGGTGCGCACGAGGGCAGAGAGGCTGGTACACGAGCGAAGCGCAGCACGAGATCTCCGAAGCGTCTAAAGCGATTAAGGCGGCCCAGCAGCAACGGCGTGGGGCTTCAAAGAACAACGCCTTCGAGGCGACCCTGAATGCATGCTCAAGGCGGCGCGGAAGAAGCGCATCCTCGCGAGGTGGAGAGCACTTGAAACGTTCTTCGAGGGCTTTGTACGGCAGCTCGAGAAGAAGAGCCGCGAGGCGGATCAGGCGGGTTTCTACAGGCACCTGCAGATGATCGACGTCGAAGGGAAGAGGTCGTTCACCTCTCAGAACATCAAGGACGAGGACGGCAAGGTCCTTCGGGACCCCACGTTTATTCGCCAACGGTGGGCACGGTGGTTCCACAAGCTTCTCAACACCAAGTCGCCGACCATCGACCTGCATGCGGCTGACAAGGTCAAGCGGTGGCCCACGTGCGTGCCACTCGACGACATCCCATCTCTACTTGAGGTTGAGGAAGCGGTACGGGAAAGGGACAACAGAAAGGCCGTCGGGCCGGACGACCTACCGGCTGAGCTGATCAAGCTTTTCCTGGACGAAGGTCAAGGTCTCCTCCGCGAATTCCACGCCATTGTCGTGAACGTGTGGCAGACTGGGGACGTACCACAGCAGTGGAAGGATGCCACCATCAAAGTGCTGTTCAAGAAGGGGGACACGATGGAGTGCGGCAACTACCGGGGCATCTCGCTCGTCGCACACGCCGGCAAGGTGCTGCTTAAGGTCGTCGCTACACGACTGAGCCACTACTGCGAGCGAGAGGGCATCCTCCCGGAGGAGCAGAGCGGTTTCCGCCCACACCGGTCGACGCTCGACATGCTGTTCGCCATCCAGCGGCTCCATGAGCTCGCGAGGAAGAAGAGTACTGCGGTGTTCGCGTGCTTCGTCGACCTCACCAAGGCATACGATTCGGTAGACCGAGACCTACTGTGGGACGTGCTCCGACGCTTCGGCGTGCCCCCGAAGATGCTGGCGGTCATTCGCCACTTCCACGAGGGCATGAGGGCGCGCGTCCGAACGGACGACGGGCAGTACTCGGAATGGTTCGACGTGGGCCAAGGCCTCCGACAGGGATGCAACCTGGCCCCGCTGCTGTTCAACTTGTTCTTTGCCGTGATTCTCATGGTCGCCGTGGCCGAGTTCGACAGGGTCCCCAAGGTGACGGCGGACATGGTCAAGATCGGGACACAAGTGGAGTACACGGGCAAGAGCCGTGGCCGAGTTCGACAAGGACCCCAAGGTGACGGCGGACATGGTCAAGATCGGGACACAAGTGGAGTACACGGGCAAGAAGGGAAAGTCAGCGGGGAAGAAGCCGACGGTGGTGACGGACGCGGAGGCCTTGTGGGCCATGCTCCACGCTGACGACGCGGCCATCGTCTCGCGCTCGCCGGAGAGCCTCGAGACGATGATGTCGATCATCGTGCGCGTGGCCGGCCTGTTTGGACTGATGGTGTTGGAGCCACAGACGGAGATCATGTGCATGCTGCCGAAAGGGATCGAGGAACGCCCGTTCACGGTCAGCGCCGCCGGCCAGACGTACAAGCAGACAGATCGGTTTGTGTACCTCGGACGTACCATCTCCGCGGACGGGAAGGCCGACCGGGAGATCACGAGCCGCAGCTGCCGAGCGTGGAAGTGCTACCGCCGGAACAGTGCTTCGATGTACGACAGGCGACGGGCCGACCGCCAGCTCAAGATCCGGCTTCTCCAGGCTGAAGTGGTGGAGCCTCTCCTGTATGGGTGCGCCTCGTGGAGCCTAACAGCGGAGCACTACACGAAGCTCAATGGGACCCACCGCCAGTTCCTCACACGGTGCATCGGCTGGAGCAAGCGGAAACGCTCAGACCGCCCCCTGTCCTATGCCCAGGCCCTCATCCAGGCAGGCTGCGAGGAAACCATCGAGGCCACCGTGCGCAAACGGAGACTGTGTTTCGCGGGCTTTGTTATGCGCATGAAGGACAACCGCCTCCCCAAGCGCATGCTGTTAGGAGCGATGGCGGGGGGCGTGGGATACCGGGGCGGGCAGGAGAGCGACTGGGTGTCTCGTCTAGGAGAGGACCTCGTGGCCTTCAACATGTGAGACGAAAAGCAAGGGGGGAAATGGAAAGAGAGCGCCAAGGACCCGGAGGTGTGGCACAACCAGGTCGAGGACGGGGCGGCATGGCTCATGAGTAAATGGCACAGGCAGGAGGCGGAAGCGTCCGCAAAGCGCCAGCGCGCGAGGGAAGCAGAAGCAGAGAGTACGGCCATCTCAGGACCGAAGAGAAAGAGAGTCGGGGAAGCGGCGGTGGGGGGGAAGAAACGGCGACCGGGCACTGCTGTAGAAGCGAGTAGGGCGGCCGAGACAGCACTTGTGGCGAACTTTGTTCCCGGCTGATGTTGTTGCGTCCTGTTTCCCTCCCTGCTGTATGCTATACTCCTTTATGTACGTCCTTTGTATTGCCTTCGGCCTCTGTGCTGTGTTTCTTTTTTTTCATGTCCTCCCTGCCTACTCTGCTGTGTTGGGTACCTTGATTTCGCTTTTGCTGTTGCTATTGTTTTTGCACATCTGGCTGTCTGCCCATCTGCCCCCTCTTTGTCCTGTTTGCTCCGTTACTCCCATGCCCTGGTGCGTAGTGCCTGGTGCTGGTACGTTACCCTTGGATTTTTTCTCAAGGCGGGTGTGGGAAGCCTCCTCCTTTATTTTTGTTGTTGTTTCATTTTGATCGTTTCCGAGGGCTCTTTTCTCGAACGGTCGGTGCGGTACCTGTTCTTTTCTTTCTATCATTTTGTTTTCTTTGTCCGAGTGGTTTGTACCCTATTTTTGTTTTGTTTCCCCTCGGTGTCGTATGTGCCGGGTGTTAAGACCACGGGCTCCCCATTTTTTGTGGACTATAGAGCTAATGTGAGAAGAAGCAACAACAACAACAGCAGCAGCAACAACAACAGCAGCAGCGGCAGTCGGCACACAGTGACATCAAATCTCTTGTCAGGGCGTGTCTTTCCTGCACTTTTGTGAACAGGATCTACGGTGCTACTGTGGTGCTACGCATGCATACATGTATTTGTACGGCATACACTGCAGCCAAGTGCCAACCATGGCACTTAGTACTACAAGGTAGTAGCCTCAGTAGACGCATGCAGTTTTCTTGTGTTGCTCTGCTGCTGTTTCTGTCTTTCTTTGATCCGAAGGATAGTTTAGCCTCCCCCATGCTGCCCCCTCACGGGGTCCCAGTTCATGGCAGATAGAAGTGTTTTGTGTTTTCAACCGCAATAAGACTGACTGACGTCTTTTCATTGGTCAGCCGGTTCGCGCGGTCGATGCCAATAATAAAAACACACCCGGTCGCCCCGGTGGTCTAGTGGGTAGCCTCGCAGCCTGCTAAGGGCCAGGTCATGGGTTCGAGTCCCGACAGAGTGAGTTTTTTCTCGCTAATTATCTCCTGGTCTCCGTTGGAAGCGACGCGCTGCAAAGCTTGTTGTTAGTAAACTTGATCGACTTCATAAGTCGCGAGGAAAGGGATTGCTGTACCCTTCTCGCGATAAAAATATCTCAGGCAGGAACCGCAGGAGGGGGTCCAACCCCCCCCTCCTGGATCCTGTTCGTGTGTTTGGATACGGACTGGTAGATCTGCCGACAACAACGGGAACACGCAGATAGGGGCATAGGTATAACATGAGGGTTGCTATGCGGTGGAACCTATGCGGTGGAACCTCTCGAGCTCTCTCAAGCTTATCGGGACCTCACTCTTCCTCCGCTCCCCTTTCGCGTGCTTAATACGAGTGTGCCTTTTTAGGGTAAGTTTGCCTGCGACCACGGGAATCGACCGCGTCGAGTGTTGAAACAACAACAACAACAACAACAACAACAACAACAACAACAACAACAACACACAAATGATGTAAATGCATGAAATGATACACTCAGTCTATTCTTAATGGTCCACGCTGCCTACGAATTAATGGGAAAGGTAGCTATACCTTCTGCCGACACACGGGCGAGAGAGGCGACCATACCCACTGCATCTAACACACACCCACATGTCAGTGATGAAACCCCAACCACACGCCTCTATCGGCGGCCACGTCAGGAGGCAATGATGAGATAATGTTCTCCCTTGCCCTTCTCACATTTAACGACATGCCATTACACAACAGGGTAAATATGTTCTCCCGCGCCGCACATGCCCCCATACGTCACACACAAAAAATAAGTTGATGACGAAAATATACACACCCCGAGACGCGCTTGCTCCGCAAACACGTAAGGGTGCCATAATAGAACACACCCGACAACCCGAGTTCCCCTAAATCTTCCGTCTACAACTTCCCAACATAACATACACATAGATACACAAGATGGCTACCAAACTGCCTTGTTGAGCCTGTTACCCACAGGGGAGATATCGTTGTATGCTGTCTGGGAAACCGTAGACATACAGGTAGCCTTTCGCTTACGCTAAGGATTCATTGCTAATCTATCTTAGACTTATTTCTATAGATAGAGATGGATTTGTTGTGCGATACTCAGAAAAAAAAAGAAGATCAAACAAATCTCCCCCTTCCAAGTAAAGGACACACAAACGTACGAATACATTAGTGTACATCCCTCGAGGGAGTCCATTAGGAAATGGCGGACTCTGTTGCCGGGGAAAATATCGCTGGCGGACCGTCGCAGGGAGACCAGAGCTCGGCAGAGCTCACGAGCCTCAAAGCGGATGTAGGCTCGCTCGCAGAGCAGATCAGCAAGTTGACGCTACTGGTAGGCGAGCTAACACGGAAGGAGGAGGAGCCCAGCGACGCCAGAGGGAGCGACGCTGGCCGCGGTGACGCTAGAGATAGTGCCGCCGCGGCGTCTGCAGAAGTCCAAGAAGGGGCATCGCAGACTGGGAGCACGCAGGACGACACGTACCTGCGCGAACGTTTCGGAGACTCTGGTCCGGAAGGACGACACAGCGGCGAAGCAGGGGGCTATGTCCCCCAAGAGGTGAGAGTAGCCGCTGCTCACAATCCAGGTGGTTTTAGTAGCACCATAGGAGGTGGTGCTGCTTTTGGCTTTGCCGGCGGCTTCGGTATTCCTGTCGGGAGTGCAGGATACCAGAGCGTGAGGTACTCCTCACCCCCGTTTGACAGGAAAGCAAAAAACTTTAAATCATGGCTTCAGGATTTCTGCCTGGTAGATANTGCTCACAATCCAGGTGGTTTTAGTAGCACCATAGGAGGTGGTGCTGCTTTTGGCTTTGCCGGCGGCTTCGGTATTCCTGTCGGGAGTGCAGGATACCAGAGCGTGAGGTACTCCTCACCCCCGTTTGACAGGAAAGCAAAAAACTTTAAATCATGGCTTCAGGATTTCTGCCTGGTAGATAATGGAGCAAACCTGTTGGACCACCTTCAGGAGGGGACAGTGGAGATCCCCGTGAATAGCGGACGAAGCAAGTCGTCATTGTGCCAACAATACCCAGCCGAGCAAGTTGAGCTCGCGTTTCACGCGTGGAATTTTCTGAACCACGCTTTCATCAAAGAGGACGATAAAAAGACGATGGAAAGGGCAGAGACGCCCCAGGGGGCCATCCGGGAGTTAAAAGGAATTTACGACCCGGAATCAGCAATGCAACCGGTTGACGACTTGGATGCGTTCATGACATTGACGGTCCCCACGAATAAGAACCCACAACTTGTTCTCCGCGACATGCTAGCAACTGGTGAACGACTTAACCAAGAAGGGCTAGGCATCAACGAAGGATTTGTTCTCCACCGCTTTGTGTCCGCCCTTTCAGATGAGTACGCTATGACGACGAATGAATGCCCTGCGACGCACGAAAAAAGCTGACCAAGGAGCAAGTGATGAGGAAGATCGCAATCGAGTACAAAGCGATCCTGGAGAAACAAAAGAAACGCAACGGCGCACGAGGCGCCGGAAGGGCCTACATCGCCGACAGCGGCGGCCGGAAGGGGCAGTCGTCTAGCCNTCCGCGACATGCTAGCAACTGGTGAACGACTTAACCAAGAAGGGCTAGGCATCAACGAAGGATTTGTTCTCCACCGCTTTGTGTCCGCCCTTTCAGATGAGTACGCTATGACGACGAATGAATGCCCTGCGACGCACGAAAAAAGCTGACCAAGGAGCAAGTGATGAGGAAGATCGCAATCGAGTACAAAGCGATCCTGGAGAAACAAAAGAAACGCAACGGCGCACGAGGCGCCGGAAGGGCCTACATCGCCGACAGCGGCGGCCGGAAGGGGCAGTCGTCTAGCCGTGGCCGCGGTCGTGGCGGCCGAGGTCGTGGAGGCGGCCGCAACGGCGGGGGCGGCGGCGGCGTCCAGGAGAGCAAGGGAGATGGAAGTGGAGGAGCAGGCGGCGGCGGCAGCGGCGGGGGCACGAGGTTCCCTGGCCGGTGCTACCGGTGCGGTCACGTCGGGCACCAGATTGCTGACTGCACCACCGAGGAGAAGGACTTCATTCCGCGTTGCGGGAAATGAGCAGGGTGGGGTCACAAGGAGGACAAATTCGCTACGGCGGAGGCTGTCCTGGCCCAAGTCGTGAGCTACGAGAGCCACGACGACTCCGCCACAGGCATTCTGTGCCGTGNGCCGTGGCCGCGGTCGTGGCGGCCGAGGTCGTGGAGGCGGCCGCAACGGCGGGGGCGGCGGCGGCGTCCAGGAGAGCAAGGGAGATGGAAGTGGAGGAGCAGGCGGCGGCGGCAGCGGCGGGGGCACGAGGTTCCCTGGCCGGTGCTACCGGTGCGGTCACGTCGGGCACCAGATTGCTGACTGCACCACCGAGGAGAAGGACTTCATTCCGCGTTGCGGGAAATGAGCAGGGTGGGGTCACAAGGAGGACAAATTCGCTACGGCGGAGGCTGTCCTGGCCCAAGTCGTGAGCTACGAGAGCCACGACGACTCCGCCACAGGCATTCTGTGCCGTGGCACAACCCCCAGGCGAGTGTGGTATCGTTGATCTTGGTCTAGTGGGGGTTGAGGAACTTGGCCAGGATGTCATGCAGTGCGTGGCTGACACGGCAGCCACGTGCTCCATGTTCCGATGTGCGAATGCCTTCGTGAACTACCGTGAGTGTAACGGTTGGGTGCGGGGAATTGGTGGTGACAAAGCCCCTGTTCCCCTCCTAGGATACGGAGACGTGGTCGTAGTCCTCAAGTCGCAAGGTGGTTGGGTGCCTGTACCCATTCCGAATGCAGCTCATGTACCCGAAGCCCCCTTCAACCTCATTTCTCTTACCACGTTGGCCGAGGAAGGCCACAAGTACTTGGGGCAGAAAGGCGGGCTCACGTTAATCACGAAGGCCGGGGGGGAAGTGTTTTCCCCCCGGACGGGCAAGCTGCTCACTCAAGAAGGCTATCAAACACAGCCTACGGTAGACATAGCCTGTGCCGCAGTCATTGTTCCTGGCGATGCGAAAGCAGTCACCCCCACTGACATCAACGACTACCATAACTCCCACCTGCACGCCCACGAGAAACTGCTCAGAGACACGGCGAAGCAGCAGGGAGTGCAGCTGACGGGAGGACCGCTGCTACCATACCTCGGCTGTTCGATGTCCAAGGGACAGGCGAAACCCGTCAGCACGAGCACATTCACGCGCGCAGTTAAGAAGCTGTTTCGCATATTCCTCGACCTAGGGGGGGAAATGAAGATCGCAAGCATCGGGTGCAGCCTATACACCCTCATAATCGTGTGCGATCACACGCGTTGGACGCGCGTATTCTTTCTGAAGCGAAAATCTGACGCAGCCGAGTAATTTAAGCATTTCTTGGCAGACTACCGAGCAGCGGGGGTTCCGTGTGAAGTTTACGTCGCACGGACTGACGGTGGAGGCGAGTTTCAAGGGGCGTTCGCGGATGTTTGCCGCAAATAGGGCATCAAGCAAGAGTTTACCCCTCCTGACACGGCCAAGTACAACGGTGTAGCTGAGAGAGCGTTGGGGGTGATCACTGATGCCGCGCTCGCCGCGCGTATCCAAGCTACAGCACTCTTCCCCGATGCGCCCAATACCCCCAACTTATGGGCTGAAGCCATCTCTTGCGCGTGCCACCAAAGAAACTGCACCGCCACCATGGGCAACCCTGGCCACAAAACCCCCTACGAGATGTTTCACGGCACACCGCCGCCGGTCGGGTCAACGTACCCGTTCATCAAACCAGCCGTCTCTAAATCAACAAGAGAGGCAAAGTCGCAACCCAAGGGACAGAAAGGATGGTACCTTGGACCAGCCCACAACCACTCCCGTGATTGCGTTCGCATGCTAACCGAAGCTGCTAATCGTCACCCTAAATTTCACCTGGCGCCACGTGCCCGCTGCTTCGGACGGCCCCCTGCAGCCAGTGGCTCNTCGTCACCCGAAATTTCACCTGGCGCCACGTGCCCGCTGCTTCGCCCGGGCCCCTGCAGCCAGTGCCTCTCGTAGAATAAGAGGAGGGCGGGGAGGGCGAGAGCAGTGAGGGCGCGTCACGTCAAGGTGGAGGGGGGGAAGAAGACTCGAGGAGTGAGTCCGACCTCGACGTAGACGACGCTCGTGGGCTGGGGCAAGCGACTCCGCTCGTGCGCATGGGGGCGCCTGCGGCACCCGGAAATGGTATGCAGGGGGACGAACACGGAGGTCCCCCGTCGCCTTCTTCGGGAGGGGGTGACTTCGGCGGTGGCGATGACCCCGCCGACAACAGCAGCAACAGCAACGACAGTAGTGGCCCCAGCGACGTCTCCAACAACCACGACGGAGGCGGCAGCGAGCCACTCAGCGGCGACTCTGGTGATGAGAGCAGCGGCGGGAGCGAGCCCGTCAGCAGCACATCTAGCCACGACGGCAGCAACGACGACGGTGACGGCAGCGAGGCCGTCGACCCCGGCAGCGATGACGATGGCGGCGGCGAGACAGGCGACCCCGGTGAGAACGATGGTGACGGCAATGAAGGCGGCGACCCTCAGACGCTCGAGGAGTTGAAGTACGACCCTGCCGACAGCCGCTACCCGTCAGGAACGGAAGGGCAGAAACTTCTTTGATGAGCGTCGAGCGCCGGCCTGCTGCGCCATGTGCTCCAGCCCGGCCGCACGCGGAAGCAGACCCGGGAGTTGCGGAGCTCCGAGGAAGAGCCGAGCGAGGCGCCAGCCCCCGAGGAGGCGCTGTTATCAACCGTCCTGGAGACCGAAAACGGTCCGGAGATCGTTGCGGAATATATACGCGAATCGCTGTTGGAGGGCAAGACGAGCAAGCGCACCGTGAGGAGCTGAAGAAGCAGTTACAATACGATCTAGTGAAGGGGCTCCATCCTGATGGAGGGGAGCTGGAGCTGGCATTCAGTGCAAACGAAAAGGACGACGGGTCCCCGCAACCACTCCTTGACCCGGAGCTAAGTATTCCCTCGCCGATCGGGCAGAAGCCTAACGATGTAGAGGCTGTCCCGCTTACGTACAAAGATGCGATGGATTCCAAGTACAAAGTGTTTTGGGAAGCGGCGATGATGAAAGAGAGGGGTGGTCCAGACAAGGCGGGGACTTTCACGAAAATTGGCAAACTTTCCGAGGGGCGGAAGGCGGTGACTTCGAAGTGGGTGTTTTCGTACAAGACGAACGAGAAGGAAGTGATCACCGCCTTCAAAGCCCGTATCGTTGCGCGTGGTTTCTCACAGATTCCGGGGGTAGATTTCCACGACTCAGCTTCTGCATGCCCGTCTACGACGTCCATCAAAACCGTGGTTGTCGTAGCCACCGAGAAGAAAAAGAAGATGTTCCACTGGGAAATTAAACAAGTGTACATTCACGCTAAGCTCAAAGAAGAGATTTTTACCAGGCTTCCCCAGGGTTGTGGTGACATGCTTGGCAAGGTGTGCAAGGTTGAGCGTGCACTGTATGGCCTGAAACAAAGCGGTCGCGAGTGGGGGTTTGAAGCTGCTGATACCCTCATCGCGAATGGGTACGAGCAGTGCAGGGCTGACCCGTGTGTTTTCCGTAGGATGGTTGACGGAGAGGTCGTAGGTCTGATCTACGTAGACGACATTTTGTTGGTGGCGTCCGAGCAAGAGTGTCAAGAGTTGCTTGCTTCCCTCCAGAAGAAGTTTCCGGTGAAGGATTTGGGAGAATGCACGTGGTATGATGGCATTGAGATGGGCCTAGAGAACGGCATCACCAAGTTGTCCCAGACGGCATACATCGAGAGCATCATCAAGCGGTTTAACGTGACTACTACCGCCCCCACGCCTGCTGTCCCCGGCGCCGACCTAGGGCCGAAACGAGATGACGAGCCCACGGTGGACAAGCCAGTAAGGGAGGCACTCGGGTGCCTGATGTGGGTGGTGCATACGAGGCCGGACATCGCTCTGCCGTTGAACAAGATCCAGAAGGTGGCTCACTCTCCCACCGACACGATATTGNTCAAGCGGTTTAACGTGACTACTACCGCCCCCACGCCTGCTGTCCCCGGCGCCGACCTAGGGCCGAAACGAGATGACGAGCCCACGGTGGACAAGCCAGTAAGGGAGGCACTCGGGTGCCTGATGTGGGTGGTGCATACGAGGCCGGACATCGCTCTGCCGTTGAACAAGATCCAGAAGGTGGCTTACTCTCCCACCGACAGGATATGGCAGGCGCTTCTGAGGGTCATGTCTTACCCCAACGCCACCAAGGACCTGAGCCTCACCTATGTGCGGGGATCAGGGCTAGATCTAGGAGTGTGGGTCGATGCCAGCTACGCCGACGACGTTGTTGACAGGCGTTCGACAACGGNAACGGAACCACAAAAACGCAGCGTGTGCCGGCGCAGTCATCCTCGGAGGAAGAGTATCTAGCAGTCGGGGAGGGAGTGAAGGAGGCGTTGCATGTGCGTGCGGTTCTGTCTTTCGTAGCGCCTGAGACGAGTGGGACGATCAAGGTCCTTGAAGACAACAAGGGAGCTCTTGCCCTGGTGCAGAACCCCTTCAGCTCGGCGAGGAGCAAGCACATCGACGTGCGGTACCACTTTATCCGCGAGCTCTTCAAGTCGGGCAAGATCACCGCAGAGTATGTCCCGACGAAAGAGCAGCACGCCGACATACTGACCAAGGTCCTTGGTAGGACCAAACCGGAGTACCACCGGAAGGCTCTGATGAACCTCCCGGAGTAGTCCTGGCTTCTGTGTTACTGTGTTTTAGCACTGACCTTCTCGAATGTTCTGATTTCTATGTTTTATTTAGCACTGGGCATCTATGGCCATGGTTTGTCATGCAGGAAGCATTGGTCGGCGCGTCACATGACCGGTCCAATTTGTCCTGCCATTTCGTCCTTGCCTTGGAAGTGCGGTCCTTGGAATCGTCCGTGATAGCAACGGTTTCTATATTTGGGTACGCGGGGGTTTTTGATCCGGATGGCCGGATTTTCCCCCGCACCGTTGTTGATTTGAGTCTTTCAGGTAGATCTGGGGTATCCATGCCCCACTGATATTCGCCACTTGCGTGACGAACCAGGGCGGGTGTTCGTGTGTTTGGATACGGACTGGTAGATCTGCCGACAACAACGGGAACACGCAGAAAGGGGCATAGGTATAAAATGACGGTTACCATGCGGTGGAACCTATGCGGTGGAAATGCTCGAGCTCTCTCAAGCTTATCGGGACCTCACTCTTCCTCCGCTCCCCTTTCGCGTGCTTAATACAAGAGATAAAACATATCTCCCCCTTCGAAGTAAAGGACATACAAACGTACGAATAGATTCAACCCCCCCCTCATATCCCCCCGGTGTTTGCCATCGGGGTTGGGTTTTCGTCGCTTGGCAACGACGTTGTAAAACAAGCC